AGCAGGAGGGTCACCCCAGACTGCCTGCATGAGGGATAGCACTCATCCCAGGTTATGACAAAGGCTTTGCTAAGGATGCCCAGAATATGCTGTAAAAGTCTGTATCATGCAGGATAATTACCAGAGAATTTGGCAGAAGCGAGAGGTGGCTCCAGGTGGTCCCAGTCATGTGCATAGACTGTGGTAAGTCTAAGCCACAGGATTTGACACATGGGAGTGGACAGGGTCTGGAGGGAAAAACAGACCTGGAGCAGATGGGTCTGCTATTCTCTGCCACAAGACAAATGAGGTTTATCTTGGTGTCCCTCTTCTTTTCTAGGTATAGAAACAGCACAGTCCATAATCCACTTCACATAGGCACTGGATGCACAGCTGAATGATGATGCCTTGGACACCATTGTCTTCCAGAACATGAAGCTCATCCTGCTCACTGCAGAGGGATGGGCCTTCAAAGCAGGCAACCAAATCAGGTCCAAAATCAGCTCCAACAGCCCATTCCACTGCATTCCTCTTTCAGCCAGCCCCTTGCATGCAGTCATGGCTAAAGAGTCACATGCATTTCCTGGGATCCACCAATTGCAACCATGGGAAGGCAGAGCACTCTTGCCTTCTGCTAGGGAAGCTAGAATCCCAGAGGGCCACCATGGAGCTATATCCACTGATGAACTGTTGTGTGACATCAGGTTTAAGATGCTTTTGCTGGATGTGTTGCTGTAGGGTGGACTCCCACAGCTGGCACAGTGGTGGAGCCCCTCGATCCCATAGTGCCTTGCATCAAATTAATCTCTCCAAAAATGAGGAGGACATGCAGAAAGCTGCAGCCTGGCACTTCCAGTGCAGTGGTCCATCTTCCTATCCTTCTGCTCCCTGGCCAAGGCCTTTTCAGACTGCATGCTGTTGCATTTGCCAAGATCCAGCCATGCCGTTCTACCAGATGTCTTCCAGCAAGCAGCGTGGGTCACTCTATGAGCCAGCAGATCCAGGGAGGCTGGGCACTGGAAAGGCAAGCAGGAGACAGGCTCAGCCTCATGCCTACACCCAGGCCCCTATAAATCCAAAGGGCACTATCTTATGTTAATTAATAAAAATGTGCATGCCAGCCAGCATGAAAGCAGCACAGAGGCTTGCATGGAAAAGTGAACAAACCTGACAGTTTTACGAAGGAACACTCCAGAGCCGTTCCCATAGGTAGGCAGAGGCCTACCCTTTGAGCTGAGGCCTTGATGGTCTCAGGCACTGGTTTCTTTGAGAAGCACACCTTCCCCATTGGATCCTGGCTTTCCCACTGGAGGCTTCTGTACTTCAGGTCCCTGAGAGCCTCACTTGCTTCTGCAGGTCTTGGGGCTGTTTGGATCTGCTCTGAGGCCCGCTCTGAGCCAATGTGCTTCATTAGCTCAGCTTTGCATACTTGTGCAGCATGTTTCCCTGAGGAAGGAGCTGCACTGTCTTCCAGGAAGTGATTACTCACAACTGTAACCAGCAAAAATCATAGAGTCCATCATAAGCAGTATTTCTGCAACTGAGGTCCTTGAAGTCAGGGATGGAAATACCCCAGTGCACCAAGACAGAACAAGACTCTGAAAGAGGATATGGGGACAGTAGCACTGACAACATCTCTCTCTGCCACCTAAGAAGTGGTTGGGGCTGCCAGATGCAGAAACCTGTCATTATGATCAAGGCCTGCCTAGCCTCCAAGCATGCTATGCTGGCATTGCTTGGGCACATCTGTGTAGCAGTTGCAACCACTCCTCCACTGGCCTCTTTTATGGGGCAGAAGAGAGCTAGGGAAGGGGTCCATCCAGTCTCTGGGTTGTTGAGAAGCTAGAGGTGATGAGAAGTTAGAGGTGGATGAGGCCGTGGCATGTAACGGGGCTGTGCAGGAGGTGATCAGAGCCACACCAAGACAGCCCTTTCATGCTTGAGCTTCTCAGGTGAGAAGTGAAGGTTGCTATTGAGTCCCCACTGCTACATCTTTTAATGAAAACAGCCCTCCTGCACTGGAGGGACTCGGACACCTTGTCTATCTCCTACCTAGCGCCTGCCATGCGTGCCTCAGCACACAGGGAAGTGTTGCATGGATCTCATCCCAGCCAGGCTGATCTCTCCCTAGCTTCTGCCAGATGGTTACTGTGTAGCTCACTCTCTCTCTCACATACAAAGTTTTAAAGCCCTGCTTTGAGGCAATCAGACAAACACTTCGCTTTGGTGGTGGCTTTTTAGTTAGCTTTAGGCACATTTTTAAACAAAACGTTGCTTCGTACATCATGGGGCAATTCTCAGATTGGTCCTTGATTCTTCCAACTGAAGCACTTTGAACCTGACTTTAATGAAAACTCTACTTTTAGTAAGTAAACTGCAGTCCAGACAACATCTCCCAGAACTATTTGGTAGCTTGCATGAGTTTCCACTTGCATGAGTTTCCCCAGCAAAATCAGAAACAACAGCTTCTACCATCAAAAACAGGAAAAGAAACAATATGCTAAACGCTTCTCCCACGTCACCCCATAAACAAGGGCTCCAGCTCTTCCACTCAAGCCCTGGTCTCCCCTCTGAAGCAGCACGTGTGCATGGACAAACAGATACACACACAGAAGCCACAAAAGCTGCGTTCCTGACAGAGGAAAGGGAGAAAGAAAGGAAGACAACATCTGAGCTGCAGGCTGCAGAGAAGGTTCACAGTGCTGCAGCAGCTCCTCTATCACTATGTGTAGCAATGAATAGGAATGGCCATGTGTATTTCTAGTGTTGCACACAATGGCTCCTTTTATAGCACAGGACCAGTGCTAAAACTATCACCAATGCTGTCCCAGACCTGCATCTGTTCCCAGATCCACACGCTCCAGGAAAACATGGAAAACAACCACTGCCTGTTCCTTGGAGCTTCTGCTGAACGATGGCTTTCCTCCACCTGGCCAGTCCAGCTACCCACTCGGCCTTAGCAGACAAACTGTCTGCAGCTGCTAGTTCTTCCCTCCAGGCCTAGCAGTTTAGACAGACTATTTTCATCTGCTGAAGAAAAGGATTTAACCCTTCTGGGGCTACGTTGGAGCTTACAAAGTAAAATGGTATTTGGATTTTACAGATCGGGCTAATAGACTTCAGCTCTGTTGACATGCAATGGAATACCTTAATTTTTCATCCAGCTCTTCTGCAGCTACAGATGCCTGAGCACTGGTCTTCCTTATATGTTGCTTATCACTTGCCAAGTGAAAAGGATATGCTCAGGTAAACAACCTTTCTTTCTGTTATAGAAGAGCAAATTTCCCTCCTTCTTACCAGGTGGGAAAGGCCATTTATAGCCCTATGGATTTCCCTTAGATTTCTCTATTTTGGACAGAATGCAATGACCATTTGTATTATTGTGGCCTTTTACAATATGCACAATGTTTTGTAATGCCAGCAGAAAGTCAGTCTTCTCCCTCCTTTTTTGCTGGTGTTGACACTGACCTGACCCCTAGTCAACTGATGCAGGTAGCTGAACTAGCAGACTAATCCTACCAACCCTCTCCATGTATACGTATATGTGAATGACTGTGTGTATGTATTTATATGTATGCACACGCACACAGAATCACAGAATCACAGAATCGTTTAGGTTGGATGGGACCTCTGGAGATCATCTAGTCCAACCTCCCTGTTCAAGCAGGCTCACCTAGAGCATATTGCCCAGGATCACATCCAGACGGGTTTTGAATATCTCCAGGGAAGGAGACTCCACTACCTCTCCGGGCAACCTGTTCCAATGCTCTGTCACCCTCACAGTGAAGAAGTTTTTTCTCAGGTTCAGGTGGAACTTCCTGTGGTTCAGTTTCTGCCCATTGCCTCTTGTCCTGTTGCTGGGCATCACGGAGAAGAGGCTGGCGCCATCCTCTTGATACCCTCCCTTCATATACTTGTACACAATGCTCAGATCACCTCTCAGTCTTCTCTGCTGGACTCTCTCCAGGAGTGCCATGTCTCTCTTGCACTGGGGAGCCCAGAAGTGGACACAGTACTCCAGGGGAGGCCTCACCAGGGCTGAGGAGAGGGGCAGGATCACCTCCCTCCACCTGCTGGCAACACTCTGCCTCATGCACCCCAGGATCCCATTGGCCTTCTTGGCCACCAGGGCACACTGCTGCCTCATGTTTAACTTGTTGTCCACCAGCACTCCCAGCTCCTTCTCGGCAGAGCTACTTTCCAGCAGGTCACACACACACACACACACACACACATACACACGCATACATACATACACACAGACACACACAGACACACAGACACACACACACAATATATCTATATATATGACTTTCAAGCAGATGAGCTCCCTGCCCTGATTCCTTGCAGGGCTGGCTGAGTATCACTGCAGGCACAAGGGAGGAGACTGGACTGTGTGGGTGGGGCAGTGAGAGTCCATTGCCTCTTTAGGCGCGTCTAGGATGTTAGATTAGCTCAGCCCCATCACCCATCTGTGCCAGAGGAGTCCTAGGCTATCCTCCCATGAGGAGCATCCCAGAGGGAGAAGGACCAGGCAGAAGGCCATATCTGGCGGCTACGATACCTCCAAGGAGCCTATGAGGAATACAAGGTCCCTGGTGATGGAGGTTGAGGGTTGGACCTTACCTCTAGCTCAGTGGGTGCTTGGCCCTCCACAGCTTTCCTTTACAAGGGCATGCTGACCTGGACAGGAAGAAATAGCAGGGCAGCACTGCTCCAGGGCGCCACAGTGCAGCTCTTGGCTCTGTAGCACCGCACAGGAAAAGGAGTTGGCTCTGCTGCAGGAGGCCTTCAGGCATGTTGTTGTTTAAGAGGAGGCTGAAGGGTGGATGAGTTGCATTTCTGCCAGGGATGTGGACAGAGATGCTCCCTCCAGCTCATGGGCAACAGTCACAGTCTGGAAAGGATGGCTGTTGTCAGGGAATGGGAATATTATTATAAACTGCTGTGCCTTGTGCAGGTTGATGTGTTTTCGTGCTATAGGAGAACGACGTGTTTCCCAGTCTACAGAGTGCTTTTGTGAAGGCGCTTATCTCTCTGACGTGTGCCCTCCTGTAACCCTCAGGCAGACTGTGTGATTATCTGAGTGGGACTAGTGGTTCTGTTAAGAGAAAATAATAGACACTGTGTTTGGACAGTGCCTGCTCTCAACAGGTCCCACTAAGTAAAAGCAAGTCTCTTTAACCTGAGGGGTTTTTGACCAGCGTGTGTTGGTGGAGGCAAGGACTGGCCCAAGCACAGAGTCTCTCCTTCGTTTCTCCACAGTAACACAGTCTCTGAGGAGTGGCTATGTGGGGGTTGGCTCTCAGCCTTATAGAAAGCAGCGCTGTCTGCTTGAGCTGTACAACAACAGAGCTGTGAAGTGTTTCTGCATGACTGATCTCATGAGGCATCACGCTCAGAAAAGGCTTGGAGACCTAACATCTCCCACTCCTTGCTTGCATGGATGGATCACCTGCCCACACTTTCTCTCTGGATGCTGGGGATGTCTGCAGAGTCCAGGGCATACCTGTGACCTCCTACAGAGCAGGGAGCAGCCCATGGCTGCACAGGAGACAGGGAAGATAAAGCAGAGAAAAAAAAAAGCAGAGAGGCACCACCAGATCCTGGCCTCAGAGGGAGAGGATAACAGGAGGGGGGGAAGCAGAGAGGTGCTGTTCTGCCTTGTTGCAGCAATGGTTGTGTGACACAGCTTCCCACCTGCCCTTAGGCTAAGGAAAGCCAGAAAAGCAGCAATAGCAATGATGCAATTACTGGGGAAGATGGGGGACTGCAAAGGGGAGTCCTTTGTGTGTGAAGGTTGGGGGCAGCCTTGGCTACAGTGACCATGAGATGCTGGAGTTGAGGATCCTGTGAGGAGGGAGCAGGGCAACGAGTAGGATTGCAACCCTGGACTTCAGGAGAGCTAACTTTGGCCTCTTCAGGGACCTACTTAGGGGAATCTCATGGGGTAGGGCCCTAGAAGGAAGAGGGGTCCAGGAAAGCTGGTTAATATTCAAGCATCACTTCCTCCAGGCTCAAGAC